AGATATTATAAACAACAAACACGATCTTCTTCTTCTTTCTTTTTTTTTTTTTTTTTGCTATTTTCATTTATGTTTTGCATTGTTGCACAATATAATTAATTCTTTTATATCAATAATTTGATTTGTGAATTCTCCTGAAAATGCATTGTACATCCAAACATGTAGGAATCAATGTACCAAATTCTATGTTTTTTTTTTTTTTTTTTTTTTTTTAATCTACATCAACATACTTCTAAAATATTAAGTATGATTCAATACATAAACACCACGTATTTTCAGTTGAAAAATCTGAACTACATAATTAATGGAAGCAACATGATCTATACCTTTTCATTGAATAAACACCACAAGTGTCCAAAACATAGTGGCAAATCGCTACCCCCACTTGTTATCACCATCCACACCGTGTAAAAACCCCAAGAGATTGATACGAACCTGAAAGATATATTAAAATTAAATGTAAACTTAAGATAAGCCTCAATAAATGAATCCTTGCAATCAGACTAAACTGGAGCTTTTGTCCTCTAAGTTCCTGGAACGGTTCCGTGGGTCAATTAGAGAGGAATCACTGGATCTAGTAACTGGTAATCACGTAATCAGCTTAAGGGTGACACATTCTCCACAGTACACCCACCAGTCCCATCGAAATGAGTATCTGTCTTGTGTGAATCAAGTCTCCTAATCAGGCAATTGCAGCAGCATTTACAGTAAGGAAGCTGGAATGATACAAGGTCCAGGAAAGCGGACAAGAGACGGAGAGAGTGAGAAGCAGCGCAGATGGGGAGTTTCTGTTTTTGTTGTTATTGTTGTTGTTGATGCAGAGTAGATTGTTAGTAACCAGACCAAAAGCCACCCGTGCGAAGTAAATGGGGGACCCTGAGCTTGACACCACCACGCACGCAAGCTCATTCACTTCCCCAGCACCATGACCTTCAGGCATGGGCTTGGGCATCATAAATTCGGCCTTCACATTAAATGAAGCTCCAATCATCTAACCAGGATAGTCGTCTTTATGAACCCGCCCTGTTTATCGTTCTCCCTCCCTTCGCCACGGTGAGTGAGGATCCCGTACTGATGAGCCCCATTAAGAGCAACAGTGAACGAAGTAAGTGAGGGGGATGGGATTCTTCAATGCCATGTACCCCAGATGCTCTTTTTCTCTGCTCTGCTCTCTTTTTTCTCTCCAGTGAGTGGGATTCCAGTGGATTAAAATGCTTTTCCTGCACTTGAAATGGAATGGAATACGTCTCTCTCTGTGTCTATCTATCAGTCTGTCTGCCTGCCTGCCTGCATGTTTTCCTGTCTTCTGTCTGCATGGGAGGTGAGATCTATTCGGTTGAGAAGGAGTGAGAGAGGGAGGTTTTGCATCGATGCTAGTAGGAGGTTCCCACGATGTATGTAGATAATATATATATATATATATATAAGGAATTGTTAAAGTGATCCATATATTTACTAAATCAACCCACCCATCCTAACCATCATTAAAAAATTCTCCACTATTGGATGTGCACTAGTAAAAAACCAATGAAAGAATAGTTGAATACTCAACCAATGATGATGCATGGATTGATTTAATAAATGCTTGGATCTCTTCAATAATTCCCTATGTGTATATATATATATATATATATAAAGAGAGTGTGTGCAAATGGATAGGTTGGTAGTAGGATATATGTATATGATATGAATGAAAGTCTTGAGTGAATTAGATTTTTGAGAATTTAGATTTAAATTTGTAATGAAGTTCAATTAACCAAAGTACAACAAGTTGTTTTGTTTGTTTCATAATATTGTGATTTATTCCAACTTGGGATCAAGTCATATTTGTTATTTGTTGTATTATTAGATTGTTTTGGAGTTACTACATTACATTTGTAAATAAAGTTTTTTAGTACTATTGTTAGATCATTTTCAAATTATAGTTAGCATGATATATTTTACCAAAATTGATTCTTCTTTTTGAAATAACAATTTTGTATTTACACGTGCTTTCAAATTTGGTTAATTTAATTTAATTTATTTAATTAACTTCTTTTAATTAAAAAATAAAAAAGTATAGTGCATAATAACAGCAAACAATTGATGCATCTTTGTTTGTTATGCTTTGAAGATATATTATCATGTATGATATTTTTTAATTTTTTTAAAAATATTTAAAAATAAAAAATACCATTAAATTTCTTTTCCTTGTAAGCTCGAATGGAACTTTTATTACTTTAATTATCTTTAAACATGGAGTGGAAATGCTTTGTACTAAATTTATTTTTTATCACTTACAAGCTTTATTACTATATATATGTACATGTGCTCCTTATATATATATATATATATATATATATATCAAAAGATGTTTATTAGGTAAATATATGTAGTTTAAAATAAGTAAGAAAATGGTCTTAAATTCAATGACACTATTTGTTGTGTACAATGATTTATATAAAAAATAGATTTTTTATAATTTAAAAAATGAATAAAAATAGAATTATTTATTAAAGGCAAGATCTCAAGGAAGATATATAAATAAGTGAGTTACATATCAAAAAGAGATGATAAAATAAAAATAAGAAATTATGTGTATTTAAGAACAAACTAGAAGGGTTATTGCCAAAGACTAGAAAACTAATGACTCTTAAAATTAGACTAGAAACAAGAAAGGAGTTGTCAAGAGTGAAGAAGGCTTCACTTTTGCCTCCATATATACTATCTAATTAAGAGCTACATAGTGTCATTCTATAAAATCTTTGATATGTGTTCAATTTGCAAGACACATGTTTTAACTTGCAAGGCAAGTTTTTATTACAAGCTAACAACATGTGCAATACGTGGCCAACTTGTTGGCCAAGTGTTCAATCTATCAATCATTTATAGATACATATAAATATAAAATTGCATCTATTTTAAAAAGCTTCTCTATAAAATATTATCAAATAAATCTATTTTTATTTACTTCTACCTATTCATATTATTTAGATAATTATTGGAGTAAATATGTATGTTTGTGATGTTATATCAAAAATAAAATTTAAAATAAAATAAAAATAAGCTCAAAATTAATAAAATTAAATAATCAATTGAAGAATTATTAATAAATTATAATGAAATTAAAAAATCTAGTATATGGATATGTTTTATTTAAATAACTAAGATTTATAAATATAAAACTTTAATAACTATTTTAATATAAGATCTTGGATTTTTAATCTTCTTATTATAATAAAAAGTAGCCATAAGCCAATCATATTTATTACTAAGACAATGCTTATATAGTATTTTGCATCAATATAACAAATTTTATTGCATTATTTTTAATTAAACTTTATTTTTTAAAAAGGTATTATATACTAATACATAATATAGAAGTATTTATGCAAAAAATTATTTTTTATTAGATCCATGAAAATTTATTTTACTATTTATTTTAAAACTTTGCTATATATTATTTTATAAGGAATGCAGAGCAAAATCTTTTTACAATCCTATACAATCAATAGACCTAATTTATACAAGATTAAAGTAATTTTTAGTATAAAAAAATAATTAGCTTATTTTTACTTAGAATTTTTAATTAATAATCTATATACTAAAGTGTTTAACAATTAATCTAGTTCTACTTCAAAATCCATTTGTTAGATCAAGATTACAAAGATATATTACAAACAAAATAACTTTGAATATTAACTATAAGACATCATCTCCCTTCTTTAAGAAAACTCAAGCAATACATTGGAATTACATTTTCTTCATTTGATGTATAATAAGATTTCTACTTAAAAATATTCTCAATTTTCTTTGTAATTATTTCAAAATTTATTTATTAATTTGTACAATTTTTCATTTCAAGGCGCCAAAATAGCATGAGTGTTAAATGCCGTTTAAACTTTTGAATTCCTTTGTATGATGAAGCATAAATTTCTTCAATTAATATTAATAATTTATTTTATGGAAGGACTATATTTGTTGGAAAATACAAATAGTATTTCTTTTAATAATCTCATAGATATTATTATCCACTACAAAAAATAAATTTGTAGATGTCAAATTTCCAAAATCAATATATATTACATCACCTATTACAACTTGCATATATTAATAAAGTCCAATAATGTATATATGTCACCATAGATAGGCTTAGTTTATTGACAATGATACAATTTTTTATCTAGGTTGTTCACCACTCAAACAATGGTCTATGATAACATACAATAAAAATACATAGTTGAACCATCTTTGTACTTCAAGTCCTCATTGTTGTAATACAATATACAATGTTTGATATTTTTGTCTTGATTTTTGTGATCTAAACGGTTTACAACATTGTTTACTCTTAAAAACCTCTTTACGGCTTTTTAATACTTACTTATCATCAAAGATAAACTGAAGGGTCACTCTTATAATGTGATTTTTTTTTTATTCCTTAAAAACAAATTTGTAAGGTAATTAAAGCATGTTTTTTAAAAATAAAAATAAATTTAGAAAATCTTTTAGATTTTATATGAAAATCAACTAGATTCTATTTTTAAAAATAAATGTCCAAATCATTCATTTTTATTTATTTATTGTTCTTTTGAATCCTTAATTTTGAAAAAGTTACAAAGTAAAAAAAAGAAGGCATCAATAACTAATTTACGAAAAGAATAACTTGAACTCTGAATAAAAAAGTTCCAATCTGTTATCTTCTTGCTATACCTTCTAATAGTGCAAATAATTACTTTTGTATATAAGTTACAATGCATAAAAAAATGTGCAAAAAAAAGTCATTTCATTGGTCACAATTAAAATAACTATTATAAGTTGCAAAAAAAATCAAAAATCAAAGAAAGGAAATAACAGAAAGAAACATCTCCAAACTTCGAAGTAGAAAAAAACCTCAAATTATGTGATGATTAACAAAAACTATTTCCAAACTAAATGACACAAAATTTTGGTAGTGAAAAGTAAGTCAATCATTTGGCATGAGTTCAAAGATGCATTCTTGTTCACGATTGGGATTCACCACGTATTATAAAATGATGCGCTATGTCTCATTAATCAATCTCCATAAATACACTGTATCGAATGGAAAAAGCTTTTACAGAAAAAATGTACATTACACCTGAGACTCGATCACCTAAAGAATGTGCATAGCGAACCCCGAACAAGCTGAAAGGGAGGCAGAGTGAGAATCCGCTAATCCCATCAGAAACATTACAGTGATGTGGTCATAATGTCACTTCGCCACAACGCAGTGAACTCTTGACAAACTCAGCTGCTCACAATTTATCATCTTGTACATCGGCTGGTGTGAACTGGCAAGGTTCTTCGTCAGTTACACTTTCTTTTCTTGTTCTTTGAGATAGGACTTGTCATCGGATGCAACTGGAACCGTCTTCACCTGGGAAAACGAACATGGTTCATAATAAGAAAGAGTCAGTTTGATGGTTTCTTGACTGAAGTAATTCAGATCTAACAATATTAATTACTCATACTCGACTGACTATCATGCAAGCAAGCCGCCATCAGTTATCAAAGCGTAAGCAAAAGGTACTCATCGTCACAACACCGAATCCCGAGTAAAATTGATTACTTACCAATTCTCTGAATTTTAAGATATAGAACATTTCGAGATACCGTCTCGTCTCACGCCTCCCTAGCTTGGAGACAAATTTCCAGAACCCATATACTCTTGAGAGCGTTAGCAATCGCTCGGCATAAATCTCCCATGTGTACCTTCAGGACGAGAGAAGAGAGTTCTAATGTTTGCTCAGACACGAGACACTACACTCTCCATGAGTGAGATGAGCGTGTCTACTTGGGAACATTGCACAAGAAGCAAACTCAGAAAATAACATCTAAGAAGAGAATGTCAAGCTAGAGTCAATGTCTAACCTATCCAATTAGAATCCAATTAGAATCATCCCTAGCAGACACAATCAGGAAATAGTCCTATGTATGCATCTCACAAATATCCAACCTAAGTGAGAATTGGATGGAAAGGATAACATACTTCGTGCGAATTCGCTCGAGACCTCCATCTGAAAGCTTAGTCCAGTAATCCTTCTCTTTAGTACATCTCTCAAAAAAGTCCACTATGATCTTGCTGGCAGACTCGGGGTGAAAGGGGTCAATATGGAAGCCCGAGACATCGCTTACAACAATCTCCTTAGGCCCTCCATGACATGTTGCGAATGTAGGAAGGCCACATGTCATAGCCTCTATTACAGTCAAACCGAAGCCTTCATATAAAGCGGGTTGGACGAAAGCACCATGGGAGTCCGCTATGTAGCGGTAAAGTTCACCATTGAGGACCCTATCAGTTTGAGCGCATAACCATCGAAAGTCGCCATCAAGCTCATACTCCTTCATGAGATTGTGCATCTTGTCAATCTCTGCCATTTCTTCACGATCCTTTGATTTCTCTTTCTGAATATTGCCTGCTACTACTACAAGGTTCACAAGTTCTCTTAACCGCGGATTCTTGGCGAACATTTCCACAAGACCAGAGATGTTCTTAACCTTGTCAAGGCGTGCCATTGAAAAAAGGATGGGTTTGTTCCTGTCCTTCAATGATCCTCTGCATTGAAGAACCACGACAATTTGCAGTTGCATGAAGAAAACTGATATTTTCCACCTTCTATAACGATTCTCTGTGCAGACATTTTATAGACATACTAATAGTTACAGATCTCATTGTTGTGTACTAACCAAGTATACTGACATGCTCCAATGTGATTTGACCATCGTCCTACGTATAATCTACACAAGACGACATATGGAACAGCAGGAAGTAACTTTCCATTGTAGCACTTCGGACATTTCATTTTTCGACAGAGAAAACCGCGGACGGATACACTGTTCACATTGAAATTTTAATCTAATACAAGAGGAATCTATGATGGAAAGCTCAAAATCAAACCCTGGATTGTGTCTTTAAACTAGGTACTAGAGGGATCGGTGATTTAAATTGATGTAAAAGATGCTAGCAGATGAGAAACTTACATATGCTCAGCAGTTTGCTCAGGATCGTACAAAAGCTTCTCAATTTTATCATGCAAATCGGTTAACCTTCTATCCTTCTCCGTGAAGGAGAAGTAGACAATTGTATCAGCTCCTGGTGATACAATGTTGAACTTCGGATCAAACACGTCGATGCCATTCACCACCCGGTACAGGCCAGGTAGAGAGAATGCCACATGACTTTCGTACTGCCCCACGGTGTCCTCACTGACATTCGTCACAATCGGTTCCCGATCGTAAGTTATTTACAATTTCACATATAAGTCAATTTTTGGGGACCTACACACCCTGTACTGAAGCTCCAAAAATGGCAGAAATGCTACTCACTGAAAAAAAGCTTGTGCTGCTGTTCAACATGCTCAAGGTTCAAGACAAGCATACCTGCCAGCAATCTCTTGATATGTACTAGTAATGATAAAATCAGCTTGGTTCATTGCGATCAGGTCTGCTGTGAATTGGCAAGAAAAGTGATATTTTTCTTCAAACTTCTTCCAGTAGATGTCTGAATCTGGGTACTTTGTTTTCTCAAGCGCGTGTGCTATGTTGCACTAAATACCCACACAATACACTTCTTGTCAGAAATACTAACTTGGCTGAACTGAAGTTCTCCAAATTCCAATAAAAATTGTTAAAAATAATTCTAATTTGACTGGAGCATTGAAAGCTAGTGGTTTTTTCACAAACCTGAGTTACACCAAGTTGATGGCATAGCAGAGAGGCTACAAGATTGCCGTCAGTATAGTTACCGATAATGAAGTCTGGCTTTCCAGGAAGCTCAACTGTGAGTTCTTGTGCAACATCCTGGTGAAACAATGACGAGTTTTTCAACAAAGAGTTCTCTAATAATGGTATCGTACATGCATCCCACATAATCAAACAAAGGAGAATCGAGACATCGTTCAGGAAATCCGGAGGAACGTTGCTCAATCGAGTGATGAGGCAAGGGAGAACAGATTAGCCAATTACCAAATTATTCCAATAAAATTTGCAAGGAAATCATATAACTGTTTTAAATTGATTAGTACAAACGGTATTCATACTTACATAGACAAAATTTTCCAGAAATGGATACACGTCGAACCGAGAAATCCAGTTGTGCAAAATGCCGTTCTCATTCCTAAACGGCACTCGCAGGATCCGAGAGTGCTTTGTTCCCTCTATCTGCTCAATCCTTTGGTTGCACGTTGTTCCATTTGCATTTGGAATAAGACGAGTAACCTGGACACAATCCAGACAATGGGTCAAGCAACTTCTATGACTAGTGACAAAATGTTCTAGAAAAAATAGCAACATAGTCTGCACTAAAACCATACATACAAGTTCCAAACTACACAACTTGCAATTCACATCGTTTAACATAAAGCCAGAATCTCTACTTCACAACAACAGTGCTCCAAGACTTCTACAATTAGCTTACCACTACAATTTGGGGTTCGATGTCCAGTCCCTGTAGCTTTATGTTCTTCAGCATCTCTTTTTCCATTGCTCGAACCTGGTCCAATATATATACAACCTGTTGCAATCCAATCCCCATTACCTCGTTTTATTAGCAAACCTTTCGTTTCAATACCTTAATTTAACTTGTTTAAATTTTCAAGTAGAAAAACAAAATTATTCCATCTCCTTTTTTTGTGCCCTCGTCAGAAATCCCATAGAGAATATTCTTGTTCAATTTATCTACAGCTCAAGACAGAACTTACTTGTCCTCCCGTATCGGGCATTCCTAGAACGTTAGACTGCCCGAAGTATCCGTGAGGCGAAATAATGGCCACACTGAATACTATCGGTATGCGAGCCAAAAACTTCTCTAAGATGTCGGGATCAGGAGCTTGCAAAAGGTCTAGCAGCAAATGGATCATTTCCAACACGCGTCCAGCTGTGTCACCCCAGCCTCTCTCCAGCCCCAGTTCTTGCAACCTGTATGTACACAACATGTTAGCTGAGAAATCCCTTATTCAAGACAAAACACTTACTCCGCACAGCCTTACATCAGCTAAGGTGGTCCAAAAGCTCCCGGTGTATACCACTCTACCTTTCGAAGCTTTTCAGAAATCGAGGGAAAATTTTCAAAGTACGTACCAACTGTGAATAATAAGCAGGCAATAAATTCTCTACGAAGTAACTGAAGATGAGAACGTACTTGGAGTAGAAATCCTTTAACGGTTGGTCGTTCGGAAGCTTGATCAAATATTCTTCGGCTTTTATAAGAGCTGGTCGAAGCCTGACGACGTTAGTAATACTCTCATTCAGCAACAAAGTCTGCACCCATTATTTACGACTCAGCTCATCGCAATCAAACTATATTGAACAATAATTCAACAGCTGAATCATAGACCCGTCCTCTTACGCCACAAGACTTAACACCAAACCACTCCTTATTGTTGCTCGCTCCAATAAATAGAAAGATATCGATTAGAGACTATCCTGGCATTCATAGCCACTTAAGGCTTTCAAATTTGCTTCGCATTGACCATCATCTCAATTATCAAAAATGAGGTGGTCGTTGGCAACAGTTCTAGAAGAAGTTTCGAATGAGTCCGATGTAACCAAATCAGTCACTCGAAGCAGAACTGTCTATCTCAAGGTGTATAATACCTGCGAATTGTGCAAGTAATTAACGCACCTGATCTTTATATTTATGAACACGCATAAACTCGACAAGTGGTTCCATGCTGTCTGCGTCTCGAAACAACCTCGAAGATAGGTGCCGATTCAGAAATTGTACACCATTCCCAATAGACTGCGGCCTCGTCATGCGTGGAAAGCCTACATTGAAGGGCTCGATATCTAACTCTAATACGTACAAATCGTTACACCTGTAGGTTCATACAAAGGAACTAGTGACCACTTTTGAACATCATCGACATGATAACGAGTAATGTGCAACTCTGTGGTAAGCTCAGAATTGGATTTTCCCGGAGTTTGATCAATCAAGCACTCTGTTTAGTCCAAAAAGATTGCTGAAGGATAATTGCAGGCTACAAATCCAGTATCTACATCAAGACATCGATTCGTAGACGTGTCAAAATTAGACATATATGAGTGGAAAGGTACCTGTTCTCATCTGCGAGGCACTCTTTGAATGACAAGTACTCGGAGGTTGTCAGCTCCTCCACAATCATTTCCTCCACGTTAATTCGCATGTATTCCCACAATCCAGGCCGTGGCCTAAGTGCAAGACCTACCCAAGGTGCCAGAACAATGGCTTCCTGCAACAGTCGTATATGTCTACTCAGGTGCGAATATAGAACTCAGTGATCCAAAACTGTGAGTACAATTGACAAGCGCGACACAAACTTTAGATGCTTCGTAACGTAAGAATGAGTATCCCGGATTCTGCACCTGACATAAAGAGAAGACGCGAGCTAGAGGTCCATCCATTATCTTCAAGGACCCACTCTCCTCCGCGGCCTTATTGAGCTCGTCAATTACTTCATGTGGTTGCATAAGCGCTTTCCTTTTGGCTGTGAGTCTGCATCACTTATAAATTATTAGCCTCGTGCGCCGTACGTATACCCGACTAATCAACATGATCAGCCTCAGAGACTTGAGACTTGAGCTGGGTGAGCAAAATTTTCATTACGTATAACATACAATGCAGAACACCTGGTCGAACTTCCTTAGACAATCGTTTTTCTGATTGGAGTCCACCAGGTTAGAAAACTGGTGAAATGTCCCCCTCTCGGCACAACCTGATTACTTGTTGGCAACTTCCTGCGCTAGCTCAAAGATAATCGCCGAAGAGATGCACTAGTCATTATCCAGAGAATTTTCTAAATCCGAAACTACGCATTCAATTGCTTCGAGTACAATTCAAAAGCTTACTTCGAGAGGATACGAAGATTTTCATTGCGATGATCATCTAGAGAACCTTGGATCTTCTTGTTCATGCTGGTCATGCGCGGGAGAGCCCCTGCTTGGGTCGCAATACCATCCATGATGCCGTTCAATAATCCCCCCTTGATTCTCACTGATAACAGACAAACCACACACCGAATTTAGTCGTTTTCCACACCAAATGCGCGCAATCCTAAATTACGCACAATCAACAGACGCTCACTATAACTAGCAATCCCAACCCTCAAACACCCACTCATCTACAACCTTCCTCACACAGCCCATATCCAGAAAAAAATCTACAGCCTCCTTGAAACTCATGACTAACACAAGACCGCACCTATAACCTCATTACCCCAGAACTCCCGTAGAACCTGTCAGCTAAACTACAGAAACACAAATCTCAACTCGTTCAGTCTCAATTCATCCTCCCACCCACTAAAATCAAACCCACCCCCAATCCCGACTCAAGCTCAAATTACCATAAAAACGTTACAAAATTCGGGACCCAGAACCGCAGAGCTGTGCCTCTGTGCTTGGAACAGGGGAGAAGAATGTCAGATAGGAATAGCGAAGGGAAGGGTATGTGGAGAGAATCGAGTGAGCGAGGAGCTGAATAGTGTAAGGAAGCAAGCAGGGCATCGATTGATCGATGAATTGGGTGGTGGTGGTGGAATTGTGCACTCGCTTAGGGTGCGCTCCGGATTGCCGCATCGGAGCTGGCAACGTCATCGAAGGCGAGTTGGAAGGACTCCGCCAAACCCAGAACTCCCCTGCGCTCGCCATTTGTCCCCTCTGGGCTGCGCCAAGTGGCGTACAGCGAGTCGATGGTTCTTTGGATGAAGTGGTTGGTGGTTAGGAGTTGGGGGTTGGTTGAATCTGCATTCGGCGTAGATGTTGGATTGGACGGGAGATCTACCCTATCATGGCCCACATCTCGGAAGGGTCTTATTTTGTTGCTTGATTGTGTCATGATTCACCTTTCTAAAGGACTATCTTCTTGTTTATTATTAGTATTGTTGGCTATTGTTACAATGTGATTTGAGAATAATTTTTGGTGCATCTAATTATAAAAATTGCTTCTAAATATATTCTTATAAAATATAATAAAATGAAAAAATATTTTTAAAATTTAAAATTTTAATTACATCTATATATATATATATATATATATATATAAGATATTTTAATAAATTTATAAATTATATGGCTTAGAAGAACAATAAACTAATATAATATACAATGCAAGAAATTAGAATGCAATAAAGTACCAATAGCTGCAATAATTGGTAGTTTGAAAGTCAATAAGAATATGAGATTTATGTAAAGATCTGACAAATAAATTGAGTTATAAATTATTGCATTGATAGAAAACTTGAAATACAAGACTCAAATTAAATCCAATCATAAATTAAAATTTTTATATAAAAAAGATATTACCATTTGAAATTTGATACCAAAAATAAAGGATTTTGGTCAAAATTTATACATTTTATTGGCCAATTTTTTAATCTATAAATTAAATCTTTTTCAAATTTTGTGAACTTATTGTTGATTAGTATATTTAATAAAATGCATAATCTAAAAAAAAATTTAACAATGAAATCAAAACTAATTGCTTATTAAAGTTGCTTTTAAAAACTAAGAGTTGAATAGATGTTGTTTAAGATTTATTTTAGATTTGATAGGATTTCTTTGGGCTTTTTAAAAATTTAATAAGGTTTTTTTAGAATTTACTTAAAGATTAATAGAGTCTCTTTGAATTCATTTAGGATTTAATAGAATATGTTTAGAACTTACTTATGATTTTTTGGAATTTATATTATATATTTTAAGGATATATTTAAGGATATCTTTTAAAAAAAATTTAGTAGAAATTGAAATCAATGGTTGATAGAGTTTAAGATTTTGACTTGATAGGATTATGGATTTTTTGAATTTAGTATTTCTAAGAGGCTCAAAGTTATAAAGAGGAATGATTTTAAATACTTTAGTCTCAATTTGAGATTACAAGAAGAATTTTAGGCTATAGAAAAATCTCTTCTACAACTAGATGTTTGGTGCATTTTAAATTTATAATTTACATAAAACAACAGTATCCTAATTCTTTAAATATCTATAGATATGTCACATGGCAATTAAAACTTATCTTATAAGATTATTATTTTTAAGTAGCCACTTTAGAAGCAATCTATAATTAATACTTAAGCCAAGTCTTATATTCTTTAGAAAGTTACTACAAAGTTTTTCTTCATAATTAATAAAAATAGACACAAGAGTAGTGCCATGCTCAATCTTTTCAACATTATTTTTGTATTTTAGTCCTACTTCAAGACTTCTTAATTTCTTTGTATTTAATTTAATTATTCTAGTTCTTTGTAATTTCATAACTATTTCATATTTCTTTACTTTATCTCTTATTTATTGACATGTAAGTGTATTATCTTCTAAATTTTATTCAGATTCATGTCTTTGATAGTTTGATAAGAGTAATTCTTACAATAGCTAAGCTTAATCTTTCTTAAAAAAGAATAGAATATGACTTTCTTTCTTAAAATAAATCAAGTATTTTAGAAGTTGTATATATATCTTTTTTACATTGATGTTTTTGTAAGACTATTTCTTTTATATTCTTTATTTTATATAAATTCTTAAGTTTAGTATAACTATAAAAGATTTTAAAGAGATAAAGAATGCGATAGTACAAATACAAGAAAAAAAATAAGAGATTTGATATTTATTATATATTAAATTATTTACCACCTTAATTAACATTTATAGTGGTTGTTGTGCACAAATACATTGTGCAAATATTACATTGTGAAGTTAGATGAGAATTGATAATTTAGAGATCAAAATAAATACTTTATATGTACTATATCTATTGCTTTAATATTTTTATGGTTGAAAAGGACCAATAATAGACCTATATATTCTATACTAAGAAAGTTGTGATGATTATTACAATACTTTTACATCTATAAAGATTATAACAATAAGCAACAATTACTTTATATACCATGTGGCTTGTTCAGTATGTTTCAATTATAAACATTCATAATATATAATTAAAATATAATATAAAATTAAAATATCTATATATAATAACTAAATATAGAAGATATTATTATCACAATGATACAAAAATAAAAAAGATGTATTAAAAAGAATCAAGTACCTAAGACTTAAACTATACATAAAATATAATAAATAAATTAGATGTATTTCCTATATTTATTTTTTTTTATCCATATTCAAGTTCATTTCACATTGAAAAATTTTAAAATATAAAATTTATTAGATAATAGCATAATTCAATTAAAAACCATCACATGTTTTTTGAATGCCTACCATTCTTAACATACTTTTAATATAATCAATCTCAAAATTAAATTACTTTTAATAGTAGATGTAGAAAATTTATATGCCATTTTGTATAATAAATATCACACAAAATCATTATTACAAAGTTTTTAGGACTTAAATATAATCTATATTTTAATCTAATTAAAATATTTGATAATTTAATATCAATTCTACCATTAGTATGTAATAAAAGGCATAATATACTTTTGTCAAATTATCAAGGAAATCAATCTCAGAGAACTAAAAAATCAATATATTCTTGTATCACTTGAAAAGATTAGAGAATCACTTAAAGATAGTATAACATTAAACTAAAATGGCTAAATCCCAAAAAAAGAAGACTAGAAAGTCTTAAAATAAGATTAAGGATTGAAAATACATTAACAAGAATGAAGAAGGCTTCACTCTTGCCTCTATATATACTATCTAATTAAAAACTATGTGGTGACATTTTATAGGACTTCTAACATGTATCTAATTTATGAAACACATCTCTTTACTTGCAGGACAAGTTTCTTATGTGCATACTATATTGTTAGCTTGTATCACAAACTACATACCTACATATGTGATACATGAGTAACTTGTTTACTAAGTTTTTAACCTATAAATCAACTATAAATATATAAAATCAAATATATATCTATGTAGCTTCTAAAAAGCTTTGTTATAAATTAATATTAAATCTATTTATAATAATCTACTACCTAGTATCCCTTATCTAAATAAATTTGTATATTTGTGATATTACCTCCCCTTCTAAGAATGAGTTTCATAAAGAACTATCATCATATGTTGAGAAAGTCCAAGATGCAGTAAATTGTATTTGTTAAATACTTTAATCTTTGTTCTCTTTGTAGGTGGTTGATAGGTCCTCTTAGCCATCAATAATTTCTTACATTAGAGTAAAAATACTACCATGTTATTTAATCATTATTGAGACCTTCATAACTTCCTTCAAATAAAATATTTAGAATATCATCAAAAGTTGTTCCTACCTCTAATAAAATCACCAAACATTGGAAGTCTCTTCTAAGGTTGTGATACCAAATTCATTGTACCTCGCCATCTATTTAAAGAAAAATATGTCATTCTTGAGGATCTTTATCTTTATTATATCATCTTGAAGGCAATGATGATTGTAATGTTTTATTTTATAAGTTAGAAAATAATAACTTTTGAGTTAAATCTACTTATTTTTGGTTTTTTATTTCTTTAGTATTATAAATATATAAAAATTACAAATAAAGATAGAAAATAAAATATAATCTTTTTAGATCTTTTTTCTTTTATAACAAAGATTTGCTATTCTTCAGCTTGATTTTGATGGATATTGTTGTTATAGAGAAAAAATTTGCCTTAAAAAAAACATAGGACCTTTGATTGCTATTAATTGTCATATTATCTTATAATTTTAAAATATACACAATATTCTATAAAACAAGAATCTTTTGTAAATTTTCTTGCTCTTCATATCAACAAATCTTTCCATTAAATATTTATAAAATATAAATACAAAAAAAAACCTCTTTAGAGATTTTTTATATTCTTCTTTTAAGAAGGTTACTACACTTTCAAAATCCTAAATCCTAAATCCTATTCTAAATCCAAACCTTGAGTTTTTATTTTGATTTTAAGTTTGTGTATTTACAAAAAAAAAGGTTTGATTGATGATTCTAAAGGATTAATGCCACCTCACTTTAGCCACCACCAATTTATGGTTTCTTTTTTTTTGGAAGAAGCTATATACCAATTTATTAGGAAGATAATATAGAAGGTATAGGCATGGCACATCATACTACTATTAAAGAAGAATCCTTACTCCCACCCAATGGCAACAAGTGCCCTTGTCACCTAATATAATCTTCCTAATACAAGCTTTAGGAAGCCAATCCTCTAGATATCCTCAATAAATAAATAAATTTATTTTAGAGAATATTTTCTTCTCCACTCTTTCATGTGCCACAATGGAATTTCAAACCCGAGACCTCCAAGGTGCCATCCAAATACCTTATCATCCATCCACCTCCACAAGCCTCAAATTGCCACTTAATGTCTAAAGTTTCAATTCTTCTTCTTATAACATTGTTATATATATATATATATATATATATATATATATTAATAATTATAATATTTTTTACTAATAAGATTTAATTATATGTATATATATATTATATTTTAAATATATTTTTATTAATCCTTATTTTAATTTAAAACTTAATTAATTAATTAATTAATTAATTAATTATAGTTTTTAATTATTTTTTAAAATATTTTATTTAATAAAAAAATAAAAATTAAGAACTAATATATTTCAT